AGAAGTCTTTCCCTACCCTCAGTTAGTGATTTTGTGGCCTTAGATTATCTTGTGCATTTTATATTCTACCTTACTCCACCCCTCAGAATCAATCACCTCAAAAAGCATTTCTGCACTGTATTAAGTAGGCTCCAAGGACAAAAATACCCAACCCCTTGAGAGCAGGTACTGTTTTGGTTTTCTTTTTAGGTCTCCAGAGCTTAGCCCAGTACTTGGCACATAGTAAGCACTTAATAATTTATGTTAGATTGGATACTGGGGCCTTAGTGGATTTATTTCACATAATAGAGAATATCTATACTACACTATTGATACCGAGAGGCACTAATACTCAATGGTTAGAGCCAGTTTTGGCCCTAGGAAGACCTGAGTTCAGGTCTTGCCTTTGATATCCTGGGCAAGTTACTTAACCTCTGAGTACGCTGGGCATCTCTATAAGACTACAAGTTATAATCAGTCAATAAACTACTATAAAATACTATGTGCCAGACACTGTGCTAAGTGCTGGGGATACAAAAAAAGAGGCAAAAAACAGTCCCTGCCCTCAAGGAGCTCACAATCTAATGAGGGAGACAAAAAATGAGCAAATATATACAAATAAGATTCATTCAGAATAATTAGGAAATAATTAATAGAGGGAAAGCACAAGAATTGAGGGTTTGGGGAAGGCTTCCTGTAGAAGATGGGATTTTAGCCAGGACTTAAAATAAGGCAAGGAGATCAATGGTCAGAGTGGAGAAGGGAGAACATTCCAGGCATGGGGGAGAGCCAGAGAAAATGCCTGGAGGGGAGAGATGGAGGATCTTGTTTGTGGAACAGCCAGAGGACCAGTGTCACTGGATCAAAAAATACATGGTGGGGAGTAAAGTATAAGAACACTGGAAAGGTAGGAGGTGCCCAGGTTATGAAGGGCTTTGAATGCCAAGAAAAGGATTTGTATTTGATTCTGGAGGCAATAGGAAGACACTAAGTTCATTGAGTAAGGGGGGGGGTGACATGATCAGAACTACTATCTAGGAAAATCACTGTGGAGACTGAAAGAGGATGGATTAAAGTGGGGAGAAACTTGAGGCAGGCAGACCCACCATCAAGCTGTCTCAATAATTCAGTCATGAGATAATGAGGGTCTACCAGGGTGATGGCAGTGTCTGAGGAGAGAAGGGATATATTTGAGAGATACTGCAGAGGTGAAATAGACTAGAGATGCTGGGAGGTGAAATAGACTAGAGATGCTGGGAGGTGAAATAGACTAGGGATGCTGGGAAATGAAATAGACTAGAGATGCTAGGAAAAGAAATAGACTAGAGATGCTGGGACATGAAATAGACTAGAGATGCTGGGAAATGACATAGACTAGAGATGCTTCAGAGGTGAGATAGACAAGGGATGCTGGGAGATGAAATAGACAAAAGATGTTGCAGAGGTGAAATTGACAGGCCTTGGTAATAGCTTGGATATGGAGTGGGGGTTTTGCAGAGAGGGAGAAATCCAGGAGGACTCTCAGGTTGGGAGCCTGAAGGACTGGGAGGACAGTGTTGCCTTCAACTGTAATAGGGAAGTGAAGAGGGGGGAGGGTTAAGGGGGAAAGATAATGAGTTCTGTTTTGGACATGTTGAGTTTATGATGTCACCGGATATTCAGTTAGAGATAAGTTCCTTGATGTATGCCCACTACTGGGCATAAACCCCAAGGATGTCAAAGACCAGTAGAGAGGTGCCACATAGACCAAAACATTCATAACTAGTCTTTCAAGAGTAGCAATAAAATAAAATAAAAAGAAACCTATTTGGTCCTCATGGATTGGGGACTGTGATAGCTGAACTGTGATAGATATTCATGTAATGGAATATTTTTGTCACCGTTAAGAAACAATGACAATAAGAAATTCAGAGATACTTAGGAAGGCCTACTTGATACAGAGTAAAGAAAAACAAAATACAGACTAATTACAAGAGTACAAATGAAAATCACACCAAGAACCCTAAGCTCAGAGTAACTGTAGTGGCCAGTTTTGGTCTAGTTAGACAGAAGAATAAACATGATTTCCTCTTCCCAGGAGAGGTGAGAGGTGTGAAATATTGCATTTTCCATGAGACATGGCCACTAGGTTGGATGGTCATGCTTCATTTTTCTTATCCATTAGACTGTGAGCTCCTTGAGGGTAGGGACTGTTTTTGCCTTTCTTTGTATACCCAGCACTTATTACAGCACCTGGCACATAGTAGGTGCTGAAGAAATGTGGGTTGCCTTGACTTACCATTTTAAGGTGGGTTCAAGGTGGGGGAGGTGTATATTGACAAATAACTGGTTCCAAAAATTAAAAAAGTAAACAATAAAACTTTTTTTTTTAAAAAACAGGTCTGTAAAGAAAATTTGTCACACAGGAGTTAAAAAAAAATAAAGAATGATGCACCTCTAGGTCAGAGGTTCTTAATCTGGGATAGATTTCAGGGTGTTTGTGAACTTGGATAGAAAAAAAATCTTTTATCTCTAACTGAAATTTAGCATTCCTCCAATTATTTAAAAACATTATTTTGAGAAGGGGTCCATAGGCTTCATCTGATTCCCAAAAGGGGGAGTCCATGACCCTAAGGAGAGTTAAAAACCTCTTCCCTAGACCAAGGATCAGGGTCCTATGGATCAGTTTCAAGAAGGAGCTGATTGGACTATCTGGAAGCCACTGGAATGATGGCAAGGCCTATGTTGTTGTTCAGCCATTTCAGTCATGTCTGACTCTCAGTGACCCTGTTTGGGGTTTTCTTGGCAAAGATACTGGAGTGGTTTGCCATTTCCTTCTCCAGCTCATTTTACAGAGGAGGACATTGAGGCAAATGGTGAAGTGACTTGCCCAGGGTCACATAGCTAGTAAGTATCTGAGGCCAGATTTGAACTCAGGGAGATCAGTCCTCCTGACTCCAGGCCTGGCACTCTATCCACTTCACCACCCAATTGCAAGGCCTGCTGTCCTATCTTTCTGCCCAGAGCCAAAGACTTTAGTACCTTTGCAATAGTTGAGCTTTAAAAAAAAACAAAACTGTTGTGTGCTGCCAGGTAAGCTGATCCTGGGGATGATCAGCAAAAAAAACCAAAACAAAACAGCCTTAATGTTCTCTTTAAGGCAGCCTCATTCTGTGGACATCAGGTTTTCTCCAGCTAGACCTGGGCTCCAGGCCAGGAATGAGGGTGAAATGGAATCGGTTCTACGAATGCCAGGAACAAGAGGAAGGACAGAAGTGACGTACAGAACCGAGGGCCTTCACAAGGGCAAATGCAGGAAAGCCATTAACTGTCTCTGTTCTCGGACTGTTCTATCCTACTACAGAGCAGCCAACCCAGAAGGGTCAAAAACAGAAAGCCCCCATGTATACAAAAAAAATATTTCTAGTGGCACTTTTGGTGGTAACAAAAAGGTAAAAACACAGAGGGTGCCCATCAATTGGAGAAAGGTGAAAGGAACAAATTGTGGTACATGAAGGAAATGGGATATTACTGTGGAGCAGGAAACAACGCACAGGAAGAATGGATAGAAACATGGGAAGACTTGTATCACCTGATGCAGAGAGAAGCAAACATAATAAAGGGATATTTTTTATTTTCACTAAGCTCTAAGTGAAATTTAGTACTTTCTTAAATTATTTAAAAGCTTTACTCTAATAAGAGGTTCACAGGCTTCACTTGACTGCCAGAAGAGGAGATGGGGTGGGGCTCTCCAGAAAACGTTCAGGACCTTTGCTCAAGTCCAAGGCTCAAGGTCCTTTGGACCAGGTAGAAGACATTTCAGATTGAATTCCTAGGAAGTTGTTGTATATCAGGAGTACAAAGCCAGAAGCCAAAAGCTAAATAATTGTAATGGCTGATCTTGGCCTTGAAGAATCAATTATTATTTTTTTCTTTTTTAAATTTATTTTAGTTTTCAACATTCACCTCCGCAAGAATCAATTATTAAATATATATTAAGCACCTAGTATGTGCCAGAGGCACCTAGATAGCTCAGTGGATAAAGTGTGGGTCCTGGATTCAGGAAGACCTGAGTTTAAATCCAGCCTCAGACATTTACTAGCTATGTGACCCTGGGCAAGTCACTTAACCCCATTTGCATGTTTCCTCATCTGTAAAAATGAACAGAAGAAGGAAATGGCAAACCACATCAGTATCCTTGCCAAGAAGATCCTATGGACAGTATTGGTGTGCTATGGTTCATGGGGTCATGAGTCGAACACAACTGAACAACCACAAATGTGCCAGGCCCTGTGCAAAGCCCTGGGGATACAAAAGGAGGCAAAATACATTTCCTGCCCTCAAGGAGCTCACAATTTAATGGAAAAAAGCATCTATTTTTAGTAGAGGTGAGGCACTATGGGTACAAAGTACTACATACATGGTGAGAAATGGGTCCAATGTTGGTTGGTTTTAAGTTTATTTAGTCATCCTAAGAGAAGGCTCATTTGAGGAGGGATTGACCATGTATGAATGTGACATAAAAATAAAAAGGCTTCAAGAAAAATTATTTTAAAAAGTTCAACAAGGTTGGCCCTGAAGAGATGGCCAAGCCACACCTCTCTTCCTTGAAAGGAATGGGGAGGCAATAGGGGTATGGATCGCTGCCTCGGAGGTCAACGTCTGCTGGCATGTTAGTTATAATGGAGGGCTCAAAAACAGTGTGCGTGTGACTTTTCCTTCCTTCAGTGCAGTGGCAGCAAACACTAACGATGCTCTGTACCCCTAATGCACTGCCGCTTTTATGCTTTCTCCAAAACTAAAGAAATCCAAGGCACTCTGTCAGCAGTGTTCTTTTTCTCTCTAAGGGTGCTTTACAGAAACAAACATATCAGTAACCTGGCATCTGCTCCATGGAAAGGCATGATGGTGCCAAAGACCCGAGCAAGCCCAAATCCATCACTGGCATTCACTACCATCAAGACAGTCAGCGCCAAGTTACATGGAAACAAACTAGAGAGCCACTGAGCTCCCCTACTGGTATCAGACGACTTGCAGTAACACAGCCAATTTCATAATATGTAACCTTTTATTATATGTATATACACATATGCATTATATATAGTACAGTGGCAGCTATATAGTATACACATACACGCATTGTATACAGCATAGTGGCGGCTATATAGTATACACATACATGCACTATATATAGCACAGTGGTGGCTATGCAGTATACATATATATGTATCATACACAGTTTGGTAGTGGCTAGGCACTGGACTTGGAATAAAACCTGAGTTCAAATTCTGCCTCACACACTTCTTAACTCTGTACCCACAGTCAAGTCATTTCACGAGAGCCATAGTTTTCTCATCTATGAAATGGAGCTAATATTAGCACTTGCCTCACAGGGTGGATGTGAGAATCAAATGGAATAATGTATGCAGAACTTTCTTACTGTATTTGTTTTGGGCCTGCATCTAATTTCAGTGGTGCAGAGAACTCCCAGTGAGAAAATTCCCTCTCCCAACGAAGATCAACACCTTCTCCGCCTGGGGCACTGAGGGGCTAAGTATCTCGTCCAGGGTCGCACTGCCAGGGGGTGTCAGAGGTGAGATTTGAACTCAGGTCATCCTGACATCCAGGGCCAGCTACCTCTCTGGATTAGGCATTAGGAGTGCAATACCCAGCCCCTTCCACCTCCAGCTATTCCTGGTCTGCAGACTTAAAATAACCTAAATGTTGAAGTGAAAACCCATCAGTTTGAAAAAGAAAAACCTCCCTTCCCCAACCTTCCCAACTGAGCATGTTCTACGTCCCATCCCCCATCGGGCTTTTCTGTGATGGCCCAGGGTGAGGGCAGGGACGGTGACTCAGAAATAGCCCCCTCTTTTAGAATTCTTTGTGAACAAAGCAGGAGCCCACAGTTACAGTTTGGGAGGTAATATTCTCATCTCTGTAGCCCAAAGATTCTAAAAACGACCAGAGTCTCGGTTGCTCAGGATGTAAATATATTCCCATGATGGCTTTTCCCAATGGGGTCTGAGCTTCTTGGCCCATCTATCCAGCTCCTTGTCCCCATCACTGAGAAGCCCTAAGACAGGGGGTGGAGGAGGGCTGGACAGGGTGAGTAGCCAGAGTCCGAGTTCCTGCTGATGTCCCCGAGGAAGATCCAGACTTGCAGCAGCTGCTGGTCGGGATGTGAGGCAGGGAGGGGGGCTCACTTGGCCCGTTTAGGGCTCACGGGCTCTTCGGTCAGAGAATTCTTCCTGGCTGAGATACTGTGGAGAGCGTTGAGGCTCTGGACCTGCTGCAGACGCAGGGTGAGCTGCTGCTGACAGGCTCTCTGGACTGCTTCAGCCGTCTCAGGGTCCCAGCTTAACGCTCGAGCCAGAGCCTCTGGGTGTTCCTTGGTCACCAACTGCAGCAAAGAGGGGGGAAATCAGTGTTTTGGCCCCTTCCCCCGCACTGCCTTCCCACCAGCCTGGCTGTTCCAAATACCTGCCCTAAAGATCCCTGACTTAGCAGGAGCAACAATGGTTATTGGGAAAGGAAGGGAATAGAACACCTACTATGTGTCAGTGCTGCCTCATCCGATCTTTACCGATTTACATGACTGACAGACTTTCAAACACTTCACGGACATTATCTCTTCATATGAGTGGTGGTTTTGGGGGTGGAGAGCACGAGCCCTACTGTGGAAAAGAGTCAAAGGACTTGTTTTCAAATCCTGGCTTTGGGCAAATCACTTGACTCAGTTTTCTCCTCTGGAAAATGGACACAATGGCCTCCAACAAATCTCCCAGCTCTAAAGCTATGATCTTATGAGCTACAATTACACTCTTAAGAAAGTGACTTGTCCACATAGTCAGGGCTTAATACACGTTTGGTGACTGACCAAGTGTTTTGCAATGGAGGTAACTGAGCTTTTGGCCACAGTGACACACAGCTATGTGCTTCAGAGGCACGTCTGAATCCCTGACTCCAGTTAGCCCTACAGGTGTTCTGGGGACATTACTATGCACTGTTTTACAGATGAGGAAACTGAGGCTGGGAGAGGGACTTGCCCAGGGTCACAAAGCCTGTAAGGGTCCGGAACGAGACTCAAACTAAGGCCATCCAGACACCAAATGGAGCAGCTGATTCCCCAGCTCGGGCTGCCCCTCCTTTAGCCCTCCTGCCCAGGGCTCAGTTCTTACCAAGCCCAGCAGAAAAAGACTGAGTTCTGTGGCAGGGGAAACACCCACCCTGCGGCCTTTCCTTCCCTTTCATTTACAATAGAGACACAGGCAGAGGAGGAACACTGCCCCAGGGGGCATCTGGTGACGGGAACCAAAGAAGAACACCTCCTCGCTTTAGGGGACAGATGGGGGCGCCATAGTGCAGGAAGACATCTTCCTGAGTTCAAATCCAGCCTCAGACACTTACTAGCTGTGTGACCTTGGCCAAGTCACTTCACCTTGTTTGCCTCAGTTTCCTTATCTGTAAAGTGAGCTGGAGAAGGAAATGGCAGTGGGGAGGGGAAGGCGTCTCTCATCTCAGGTCTTTGCACTAGGCTGGCCCCAGGTCTGGAATGCCCTCCCACCTCACTTCCCCTTAGAATCCTTCGGTTCCTTGAAAACTCTGCCCACGTGCCACCTCGTACATGAAGCCCGACCTGATTCCCCACGGGCTAGTGTCTTCATTTCTCCTCACTCATCACACTTTTATTACGTGCCAACTTTGAGGCCAGGAACTGATCCATCTCATGTTTATACCCAAAGGGCTATGAGCTCCACGTTATCTCCTCCATCCAATCTTTACAACAGCAACTGGGTGACATCAATACTCTATGCGTTCTGATCCCCATTTTATAAATGAGGAAAACTAAGGTTCAGAGAGGTGACTTGCTCTAGGCCACAGAGCTAGTGTTTGAGATGGGATTCGAACCCAGGTCTTCCTGACTCCAAGCCCAGCCCTGTATTCACTATGGCTCTCCACAGAGAGAACCATCCTGGCAGCACCTGCCTCTGAGTCGTCCTAAGTCTCAAATGAGACAACAGAGAAAACATTTTGCAACACTACAAAGCTTTACATAAAAGGAAGTTCTTATTGTAATTATTATTGTTGTTGTTCATTAAAAAGGTATGTCTCCTGCACTGAATCTCCTGCCATGCCTTAAAAAAACGAGCCCAACCATTCCTAAGGATAACGCCCCACGTTCTGCGGGGGCAAAGCCCCGAGTCCCCAGGGCCCAACAGGATGCCTTGAACAGATGCCTACCTCTAAATCCTGGCTGGACAAGCTCAGCTCTGGGGAGGACTTTTCCTTCAGCACCATTAGGACGTGACTGGAGAGTGTGATGTAGCCAGCAACCCCTGTGTCCATTTCATCCATCCCTTTATCCAAAGCAGCCTCAGGCTCTGCAAGGTAGCCACAAGACAGTGATTGGCGGCTGGCCCTAGATGGGCCCAGACCAGATGGCCTATTGGCATGTCTGGGCCAGGCAGGAGGTCCTCACCTCCTGCATTTGGGTGGTGGTGGTGACTGCATGTGGGCGGTCCATTTGTTTCTTTCTGAGGGAAGGCCTCCGTCCACGGAGGGTTTCTTTTGGGGGATGTGGGAGAAGGGAAGCCCCAATTCTCTCCTTACCCGCCTGCTTCGACAGGATGCTGCCCTCCTTCTCCAGGGCCTGGAGATAGAGCTGCAGCAGCTGCCGGGACTGCCGGGCTTCTTCTCTGTGGTCTAGCACCTGTTGGAGTGTGTTCTGGAGGTCCTGGGTTCTCAAAGGGCTCTGGGAGAGCTCCTGGGCCAAGTCTGAGCAGGGAACGTCAATAAGCACCTGGCACATGAGAACAGGAGGCAGAAATGAGGAGGCAGAGAAGGCCGCAGGAGGGTCTTATCAAATCAACTAAACTTCCCCGGCTTCAGTGAGTCATCTGGACCCTTTCCAGGAGCCAGCAAACTACCATGGGAGGCATGCTGGCTAGGTAAGAGATGGAGCAGAAGCTGTAAAGCAAGCCAGAGATACAATGGAACAAATTTCTCTGAGTCTGATCGGGGGAAAAAGTTAATTATGCCAGTGAGATGCTAGGAAAGAGATGGAATGAGATGTGGAATAAGCCAGCTAATGTTTTTCAGTCGTCTGACTCTCCCTGAGCCCATTTGGGGTTTTCTTGGCAAAGACCCTGGAGCGGTTTGCTATTTCCTTCTCCAGCTCATTCTACTGATGAGGAAACTGAGGCAAACAGGGTGAAGTGACTAGCCCAGGGTCACACAGCTAGTAAGTGTCTGAGGCCAGACCTGAACTCAGGGAGATGAGACTTTTTGATTCCAAGTCCAGGGTTCTATCCACTATGCCATCTAGCTGCCCTCAAGCCAGCTATACAATGGATTTAATTTTTCTGTGCCAATTTTCCCTTAAAAAAAAAAAAGGGTTGGCTACTGATGGCCAGTGAGAGGAAGTGTGGGAGCGTGGACAGGAGGCCAGCCTTGGAGGTGGGCAGGCCTGGGTCCAAATCTTGCCTCTGATACAAACTAGGTGTGTGAGTGTGGACAAGTCAGTGCATCTCTGGTGCCCCAGGCACCTCTCCGCTCATTACACATAATGAGCTGTTGATTTCAGCTGGCTGTCTTCATCACCTGGGGTAGTTTCCACACTGTGGGAGTTTCTCCCTCATACATATACAACAGATCACAGGTCTGGGACAAGGAAAGAAAAAAATACCCTAGCAGAGGGGACAGAAGCTTGTCCTTCAAGTCAGGAAGACCTGAGTTCAAGTACTGTTTCTGACACATACTAGTCCGTGTTGGGAGAGAGGGTTCCCACACTGGGAGGTCCCCAAACTGACTTTGGGTCTAGACAAAAAAAAAAAATCCCAGAACAATAATAACACAATTGTTCTCCATTAAAGCAGAAAACCAAACCTGGATAGACAGATACACAAACACAAAACAAGAACAAGTCTTTGACTATTGGATCATCTTTGAGAGACTAAGGAACCTGTGAACGGACATAGCAGCATTCTCAGTCCAGAACAGTGACTTCATTGCTGGAGATGCTCTCTGCCGGGGCAGGGCAGGGCCCCGGCTACCACTCAGAGTCTCAGAGAGGGACCGTGGGGTGTCGAGGTGGGAGGTGGACCCTGGTTTCCTGGCTCCAAGGCCAGTTCTGTCACTGCTACTCCCCCCCACTTAAAATGACCCAGGCGAGAAGGAGCTACATTCCATCTTCAGAGGTAAATCTAGCACATTCAGCAAGGGCAACGTTGTCCTACCTAAGTTCTAAGTCTGCTGAAAGGGTAACTAGCTGAGGAGGAGAGTTTCAAAGTCCTACAGCTAAAAGCAAGTGCACAGGTATTCATTCATTGGACCAGCACCTGTTGAGAGTCTAACAAGGGGCTAGGAAAAGCAAAGGGGACAGCGTGAATGGGAAGGAAAGGGCTGGTGGGAGGCCTCTGGAAAAGGGAGGGGTCTGAAAGGCAGCACTTGTAAAGGATTGACCCAACCCAGTGCCTATAAAAAATGCACAACCGAGAAACAGCTGTGTTGGAGGCAGGCGTGTCTGATGTGATGGTGGGAGGCCCCTTACCTGAAGATCTTCCTCTGCCAGGAGGATGATGCTGGACAGATCTCCCTTGAGCTGTCTGGCCAGGTTCTTCCACCTGCATCTCTCACTGCTGCTGTCTAGTTCATCTTTTCCATCGAAGGATTCTTGGGAGACCCATGCTGTGCCCCCATCTGACCCACAGGAGGAGAAAAGGCCAAGCACTTGTCAGAACCACCCAGGGGGCCTGAAACACCCTGACAGCGCTGTTGAAGATGTTCCAGCCCTCAGCTTGAACCTATTCATTCCTAGATACCTACTCATGCTTTAGGGGCTCCCAAATACCTCTGAGACAAACCACAACTTAAAAACCCTCAGCCCTGGAAGCTACAAAGGGCCAGACCTAGGCATGACCTCAGGAAAACCTGCCTAGGGTGGGAGCTGTCCAAAAGCAGATGGCTTCTGGAGAAGGGGCTGGCTCCGCCTCACTGGGGGGCCCCATGCAGAGGCTGGAGGTTGGAAGGTACGAGTTGACAAGGGGGGGCCCCGAAAGCCCTTCCAGCTTGGAACTTCTGGGATTCTTCCCTTTATGTCACAGGAATTCATGGGAAAACCAGCAAGGGGCTTAACTTCTCTTTTCTCTGTTTGCTGATACATGAAACTACTTTCAACTATTCCGACATACATTGAGGGTTAGGTTAGACTTAGCTCATTACCAAACTTTTCTAGTTACCAGATATTTGCTCCCCATCACCCCCCTACTAGAATCGCCTTGAGTCGGAAGGGTCCTTAGGGACCATCTATTCCAACTCCTTCATTTTACAGATGAGGAAACTGAGGCCAAAGGAACTAAAGCGACAGCATCCCAGATCTAGGGCTGGAAGGGGAAGGTGGGGGGACCAGCTCAATGCCCCTGATTTACTGAACATGTGATGCAGGCTCTGGAATCTATTCCTTAGTCATTATGAGGAGGGCTGGAGAACATCCAGAGGGGGGTGACCAGAAGGCGGCCACAGTGTTGCAGACCTAGACTTGGCCTTGGAATCTGCAAGGGCTGGGTTCAAATCCTGCCTCTGACACTGACTTGCTGTGTGACCCTGGGAAAGCACCCCCCTGCATCCCCAGATCATTCTCTCTAAGTTACAGACAGGTGGCTCTCTGTCCTGGCCAATAGGAATTCTTACACCAACAAGTTCCTACCACTGAGCAGCCCTGATACAGAATAATAATAATAATAATAATAATAATAATAATAATAATGATAACTAGCATTCACCTAGTTCTTTAAGGTTTGCAAAGGTTTACTTTCCATCGAAGCCTCCTAACAACATGTCCTTCCTAAGGCCACGCAGGCCTCTGGGGCTGTGCATGGGGAAGCCATCATCGCAGTGAAGGCTTCGCTCCGGGGGCTGTATAAGGGGCAGCGAGGGCTCCTTACCTGTATTGCTGTATTTCCATGTCTCGTTGCAAGTGAGCGCTACGAACTTGGTGTTGTCAGGTAAACACAGGAAGTAATCTTCATCATCCACGATGGTGCCATCCTCCGCCAGGACCAGAGTGATTGGCTCTAACGACTTGTCGATGGCCAGGATGTCACAAGCTGAGAGAGAAAGCAGGAGATAAGAAGTCTTAAACACATACAGACCTACCAAAGAAATGAAGTTAATCCTATTCACTTCATTCCTAGATACCTACTCATGCTTTAGCGGCTCCCAAATACCTCTGAGACAAACCACAACTTAAAAACCCTCAGTCTCCAGGCTGATCTCACATGACTACACTTTTAAATTCTCCTAATTTCCAGCCAAACTGGCCTATTTATTGTTGTCCAAACTCAGCACATATTCAATCTCTGACCTCCGCACATTTGCACAGGCTGTTCCCTATTGTTGGAATGCACAACTCTCTTCATGTCACCTCAGCTCCTTTCATGCACTCCCTCCCCCAGAAAGCCTTTTCTTATCCCCTTCCTTCTTCCTAGCGCAAATGATTGCACACGCACTCATCCCCTAGGCAGAACTTAAGCTCTTAGACAATAATGACTTTCATTTTTGTCTTGGTATCCCCAGCACCTGGGATACAATTTTTGTTGTTTAGTCGTTTCAGCTGTGTCCAATTCTTTGCGACCCCATGTGGGGTTTTCTTGGCAGAAATACTGGAGCAGTTTGCCATTTTCTTTTCCAGCTCATTTTACAGATGAGGAAACTGAGGCAAACAGGGTAGAGTGACCTGCCCAGGGTCTTACATTTAGTGTCTCAGACTGGATTTGAACTCAGGTCTTCCTGACTGCAGGCTCAGTGAGTGGTTTATTCACTGTGCCACCCCGGCTGCCCTGATATACAATAATGGAGCTTAATAAATGCTTTTCCAAGTGCATTGGTTCTGCAGGTGGTAGTAACTGTCAACTGAAATGAAAAAGTTTTTTCTCTATAACATCCCTGTAAGATGTTTGGTTTAAATACTACTCTCCCAGGAGCAGCTAGATGGCGCAGTGGCTACAACACTGGCCCTGGAGTCAGGAGGACCCGAGTTCAAATTTGACCTCAGACTCTTATTAGCTGTGTGACCCTCGGCAAATCACTTTACCCTGACTGCCTCAAAAAAAAAAAAAAAAAATACTGCTATCCCCATTTCACAAATAAAGAAGCTGAAGTCGGGTCAGATTTGAGCACACTGCCCCAAAGCCTGAATTCCTTACATTGGAAGCATTGTCTGCAAGGTAGCATTTCTGCTTGCAGAACCGTATAAAAAGTTGAACATAAAGAGGACGGATGGGGGTGGGGTAGCATTAGCAACTTTCACCTTCTTTCTCACTGGGCAAGAGGCTGTCGCCAGGGCAACACCTATGATAAGAAATCCTGGATAAATAAAAATCGCAGGAAAGCTCCCTCAAGTCTGCCCTTCCACATCCCAGGCAAGGCTCAGCAGAGGAAGGGCTGGCCGGGACCCCAGGCTCTGGGTGCGGAGGCCTCTTACACAAGCACCCAAGGCATGCTGATGGAACTGAAGGAACCCTAATGCTAACCTGCAATTTAACCGTGACTAATGCGCGAACCAAACTAGTGAGGCATGAATGCATTTAGGAGCTCTGCCCTGCTTCCACAGGGTACCACGCTGACGTCCAAAAGGCCGGTCAGGGCCAGACGGTAAGCAGGCCAGCAGGGTGATGATCTATCAGAGGACTTGTCACAGGTGCGGAGGACGCAGAACTGGAAGGGGGCCCCTGAGATCATCTATTCCAAATGGACACTTAGGCAGTCACGGGGCACTGCGGTCAGGGGCAGGACCGGGTCCAGTCAGCCAGGTGCCAGGACTGCAAACCCGGCGCTGTTTCGGTTCCCGATCCCCCAGGACGAGACATCTAGAGGAAGCTTAGGTGTCTAAGTCCTTCGGGACGAATCCAGCGACGGTGGCAGAGGCATCCTCCTCGGGCTAAGCCCCAAGGGTGATACCACCTCCTTTCGCATGGCCTTGCCCCACCCCTCCACCCCCAGGGCCCAAAGGCAGCCCTAAAGTTCTCAGCCTGATACAGTGGAAGGCGGGCTAGATCCCAAGTGGGGAGGGGCCGGGGTGCCGGCCCTGCCCCTGTGAAAGCCGCCTCTCCAGGACTCAGTTTTCCCTTCTGTGAAATGGGTCCAGCGGAGGCCAGACCTCTCAAAGTCCCCACGCCCCCGCTGCCCCGACCCTCCTCCAGGCCCCCCGGCTTCGGCACCCCCTGCCCGTCTCCGCGCGCACCTTTGCTCTTCAGCTCCTCCAGGCTGGCGGCCGCCACACCGTGATGCTCCCGGTTCCGGTTGCGCCGCAGCAGGCAGGGTTTCAGGGCGCCCGTTGTCTCCTCTGACACCTCCATCGCCGGCCGCAGGGAGCCACGGTCTGAGTCAGGGCTGAGGAGCTGCCGGTGTACGGGAAGCCAGGAGCTCGCCCTTGGGCACCACCCACGTGCGTAGGCTGGCGCCCGGAGCATGCCGGGACTGGTAGTCTCGGGCCGCCTCGGACCACGCAGGGTTACCCCGACGCATCTTGGGTCTTGTAGTCGCCCCGCCCAAGAGAGATTGCGGATTCCTTCGGAGTCATCTTAAAGGGACAGGAGCGCGAGTTCTGCGAGAATCTAGACCTTGTTCCTGGCGCTCTGAATTGCTCTCCTCTACTCAGTTTATTTATTATACGCCTTGAATTTATATAGTCTTCCTGTTTGCATACCTACATGTGTTACAAAACATAGTTGTTTACAGTTTGTACAATACCGGATGCCTGTACACTTTTCAAGGTGACCCACAGAGTTAATTCCATAAGTTGGTTTATATTTCTCCCACACTGCATGAAAACGTCTGCAGGTGGGTGCATGTAAGTAAGGTGGGAAGAATCCCGGCTCTGGAGGGAGCCTGGACCTGGGTTCAAATTCCAACTCTGTTGATTTGGGCTCCTCCAGCCTCCCTTTCTTTGCCTATAATTCATTTCAATTCAATAAACATTTATTAAGCCTTGACTATGTGCCAGGCACTTTGCTAAGCTCTGAGGATACAAAAAGAGGCAAAACACCTAAAACGAGGCGGTTGGACTAGATGGCCTCTAGACCCCTCCTAACCCAAGATCAATGCTCCTGTGTGAGATAGAAGAGGTGACTTTGATCTTTGGTGACAAATATCTTTGGTGACATGCCATAGTGCTCTGCCCTGCATTTTTATGAATGGTTCGGAGGAGATATGGATGGCCTTCTAGGCAAATTTGTGGATGACCTTAAGCTGGGAAGAGGGAATAGCTAAATGCCTGGAGTGACAGAATTAGGTTGTAAAAGATCTATCTAGTCTGAAATGATGGGTTGAAGAAATAAGATAAACGGAAAATCCTGCACTTAGGTTCAAAAAGTCAATGGCACAAATATAGGATGAGAGATGAGGCGATACAGAGGTTTTGATTGAAGTTGGGCTCAACATTAACTTACCCAAAAAGCCAATGAAGTATGGTGTTTAGATCGATCACTCAATAAACATTTATTAAGTGCCTACTATATACCAGGCACTGTGCTAAGTGCTGGGAATACAAAAAGAGGCAAAAGACTGTCCCTACCCTCAAGAAGCTTACAATCTAATGGGGGAGACAACATGCTGATGTGTGTGTGTGTGTGTGTAGGCACTAGACTTAAGAGGGGTTGGGAAAGGCTTACTGTAGAAGATGGGATGTTAGCTGGGACTTGAAGGGAACCAGGGAGATCAGTAGTTGGAGGCGAGAAGGGAGAACATTCCAGGCAAGGGGGACAGCCAGAGAGAATGCCTGGAACTGACACAGGGAGGGTCTTATTTGTGGAACAGCCAGGAGGCCAGTGTCACTAGGTAGACCAGTACTCACTGGGCAGACTGGAAAGGTAGGAGGAGGCTAGGTCATGAAGGGCTTTGAATGCCAAACAGAACATTTTGTATTTGCTCCTGGAAGCAAAGGGGGGCCACTGGAGTTTATTGAATAGGGGGTGCTTTTTAGGAAAATCACTTTAGTGACTGAAAGGAGAATGGATTGGATTGGGGAAAGAGCCGTGAGACAAGCTGACCCACCAGGATTGGTTCCAGCAGTTCAGACGTGAGGTGATGAGGGCCTACACCAAGGTGGGGACAGTGTGAGAGGAAAGAAGGGGGTATATCAAAGAGGGGTAACAAAGGTAAAATCACCAGGCCTTGGCAACAGCTTGGATATGGGACTCCCAGGTGGGGAGCCTGAGGGACTGGGAGGATGGTAACAGGGAATGGGAGAAGGATAATGGGTTCAGTTTTGAATGTGTTGACTTTAAGATGTATACTCACCATCCAGTAAGGGATGTCTGAAAGGCAACTGGAGATGCGTGAGACTGGAAGGCGAGAGAGATTGGGGCAGGGAAGATGCTGGTCTCCCTGAGCCTTCCTTTGCTTGCCAATTGAGAGTTATCATTATAGAGAAGGTAATTAAATGCATGGGAGCTGATGAGATCACTAAATGAAGTAGGAGAGAGGTAGAAGAGGCAGCTGGCTGGCACAATGGATGGAGCGCTGTGCCTGGAGTCAGGAGGACCTGAGTTCAAACCTGGCCTCAGACACTCACTAGCTGTGTGACGCTAGGGAAATCACTTCACCTCTGTTTGTCTTAGTCCACTGGAGAAGGAAATGGCAAACCTCTCTAGTATCTTTGCCAAGAAAACCCATGGACTGTCCACGGGGTCATGAAGAATCGGACAGGACTGAACAACACATAGAGGGAGAGGAGAGGAGAGGAGAGCCCAGGACAGAACCCTCAGGGCCACCTGCAGTTAGATCAAAGGAAGTACCAGTTCCACGGCATTCTCCCTTGGTCAGAGCTTACCTGGAGTGTGCGTCTGCTTCTGGCTGCCACCTTTTCTTTCTCCCTTATAGTTTTAAAAATGCATCCATATATTTCAACACAACAGCCACTTGTCAGAACATCCAAACAAACCCTCTTCCACTTCCTGAAAAAGTTGCTCATATAAAAGAGGGATGGTCCTTTAACTGACCTGACTCCATTAATAAACGTTTATTAAGAGCCTACTATATGCCAGGCACCAACATCTCCCACCTTGGGCAGGCGCCTGTAGGCTGGCTTTCTCAGTGAAGCTGTGATCCTTCCTCCAGGGTGCTCTTGGGGCGCTTTCTGTCTCCCCAGCTTTCTCTGAATCCTCAGGTTTTTATGTTTCCTTAAGGCAGTATTGGGGGTAGGAGGGGGATGGGCAAGTTGCAAAGGGAAACCTGAAACAATGCTGCCTGAGGAGGATCTCTGGAGACCCTGCCAGCTCCCCTCTATGACTGTCACTGCAGAAAAAAGACCTGGGCTGGATATATTACTAGCTTCAAATATCTGACGTGGCCAAAACAATGGTTTTGGAGTCAGAAGTGGATGGAATCCCTGCTCTGCTACTGCCCGTGTGACACTGGGCATATCACTTAACGTCTCTGGGACTCAGTTTCCTCATCTATAAAATGGTAAGATCGCTCCTGTGGCTCTAAATTGTTATTGTTCAGTCATTTTTCAGTTGTGTTTAACTCTTCGTGACCCCATTTGGGGTTTTCTTGGCAAAGATTCTGGAGTGGTTTGCCTCTTCCTTCTCCAGTTCATTTTACAGCTGAGGAAACTGAGGCAAAGAAGGTGAAGTGACTTGTCCAGGGTCACACAGCTAGTGTCTTGATGTCACATTTGAACTCAGGAAGCTGAGTCTTCCTGACTCTTCCAGGCGCTCTATGGCGCCATCTAGAGATATGCTTTCCTATAAAGTCACAGGGAGGCAGATTTTAGCTCAATTTTTTTTTTTTTTGCTGAGGAAATTGGGGTCAAGTGACTTGCCCAGAGTCACACAGCTAGTAAGTGTTCTGTGTCTGAGGCCGGGATTTGCATTCAGGTCCTCTTGACTCCAGGGCTGGTGCTCTATCCACTGCACCACTTAGCTGCCCCTAGATTTTAGCTCAATTCTAAGGAAGAACTTTCTAACCATTAGAGGTGGCCTTAAATAGAATGGTCTTTCCAGAGTAGTAGTGAGTTTCTCACCACTGGAGATATTTAAACAAAGGACTCGAAGTATTTAAAACCCTGAGGGAAATTAGAAAAAGGTCTGGGGGGAATGAGAGTGGAAGGAACAGTCATAGGGCAAGAAGAAATGTTAATGAAAAGGCGATATCTTATACTCACAGGAAACTCATGCTCCCTGAAGATAGGTGTATCCTATTATTATAACATTGTGTAATCACAGGAAGCTCCCTTTGAGAGAGTCTTATTTTGATGGCACATCACGGTGTGACCTTGACCTTGAAGACTTGCAGGTTCTCCCAGTGGAACACAAGCACTGAAGGCTCCGCCATGCTGGACCATGGAGCAAGAGCCTCACGATGGGATGTAGGCTTGCTTGCTGTCAGGGAGGCCATCACCAGCGGGGCCTCTGGGGTGATCTAAGATACAGATAGGATAAACTGGAAATAATCAACAGAGGGAAGTCACTAGAATTAAGGGGGGATAAGGGAAGTCTGGTAGAAGATAAGATTTTAGCTGGGACTTGAAGGAATTCAGGGAAGTCTGGAGGACAAGGAGAGGGAGGGAATTCCAGGTTAAGCAAGGCATTAATTGCTGGGAACACAAGTACAATGAATTTCCATTCTAATAGAGAGACCCTAGAGTCCTGGGAAACAGTGGCCAGAGGAAGTCTTTTTGTCTTGGGAAGTCATAGAAATGATGAGTCACAAAATGCCTCCAAATTTGCCACAGAGTAGAAAGAGGTTATACTGTATAAATCACTGATAATATCTTAGCATGAGCCAGGATGTGGTGTGGTGAGTGGGTTCCTATCAAGGCTCTGTTGCTTTGCCACTGGCCCCAGATGGCTCCAGAGGAGAAAGTGAGACTGGTGACTTGGCACAGTTCTTCCTTACTTCAATCCAATTCACTTGCATGTCACGGCATCACCTCCCTGATGTCATGGTCCTCTTCCAGAACGAAGGACAAACAGCAGCTCTTGGAAAACCACTTTTTGTCTTTGTGCTTGAGCTTCTGGCATAAATCATGGGTTTAAGGGCTGGAAGGGACTTGATGCCCCATCTGTAACCTGAAATGTGGGTTATTAGATCATTAGATGATAGGTCTCTTCCAGCTCTAAATTCCAAGAGGTGAAGGCACATGGGACTTAAGAGTCAAAGCACCTGAGTTCAAATCCTGACTGGAAATCATAACTAGTTGGGTAACCCTGGGCCAGGCACCTCACTTGTCTGCCTCAGTTTCCTCATCTGTAAAATGGGGATAATAATATTCTCCCTCCTCCCCAAGATTGTTGTGAAGATTAACTGAGAAAATAATTGTAAAGCGTTTAACACATAGCCTGGCACAAAGTAAGCTCTATACAAATGTTAGCTATTATTATTACTATTGTTGCTGTTGGCTGCTAGGCCCTGGGCAAGTCCCCTGTAAAATGGAGATGAAAATGGAGATCAAATGAGTTAACATTTGTAAAGCGCACACTAAGTGGCTGGTTGATTTAGCTTCTTATTCTCCAAGTGGGGGCGAACAAGAACTTTTCCACTTTCCTATGGCCCTGCCCCACCACTCCACTGCCACGCCCACTCCTCCCTATCGATCACTCTGCTCTTGCTTCTTCTTGCCTGTGTCCCCGAGTGAGGGTGTTCCGTTCAGGAGGAGCCTCGCGGGGCGGCGATCGATTAGTTAGGCCTCAGAAAGATGGCGTCCTCGGAGCAGGCAGAGCCGACGAGCCAGGTAAGGGGGAGCCGGGGCTGCTGGGGCCCCGTAGCTGGCACCGGGGTCGGTGGGGACGTTGGGGCCGGGGGCCGGGGGCCCGGGGGCGGCGGCCTGGGCTGCTGGCGTTTGGGACCGGGAGGAGGAATGGGGGCCCCCTCGTTGCCCCCCCCCCCATGACCCCCCCACCACCCCCCCCACCCCCCGCGCGCCCGCGGCCCCGCCCCCTGCGCCCCCGCACACGCCCCCTCACACAGCCCCCCTCGCGCATTCCCGCGGTGTGACGGGGGCCGGGAAGGGTCAGTCCGCAGCCGTGGGCGGCCATGGGCCCCTGGAGTTGGTCCGGAGCTCGCGCGAGCGCTGGCTCGTGGGCGGCCGGGCCGGGGTCTGCGCCGCCTCCGCGAGCCTGGGTCCGGGAGAAGGATTTCCCGGAAGCCCTCCCCTCTCTCGCCTCGGTTTCCCTCCCTGTAAAGGGACAGGTTCGGGTTCCATGAGCTCCAAGCCCTCTTCCAGTTCCAGACCCTGAGGCCTCTCTGAGCCTCAGTTTCCCCTTCTGCAGAACGGGGAGCTTGGGCTACATGAAGCTCCAAATGCTCCGACCTCCCAAGGCCTCAGTCAAGTCCACAAGCATTTATCAGGCATGTGCTGTGCTGTGCAAGCCTGCCTTTGGGGATGCCAAGAAAGGCCAAAACTGCCCCTGCTCTCGAGGGGCACCCATTCTGCTGGAGACAGCAGGCGCTCCACTCTGCAGTCACCCAGTCACTGCGCCTGCTGAATGCCAGGCGCCAAGCTAAGCCCCGGGCATACAGACGCAGAGTAGGGCCCCTGCCTGCCCTTCAGGACCTCAGTGTAATGGAAGAGACAAAGGGCAGGCCACTCCGTATGAGCGAGATGCCTGCGGGATAAATCAGAGATGATCCGTAGGGTAAAGAAGTCAGCAAAGAAGGTGGGATTTTAGCTGGGACTTGAAGGAAGCCCGCTGGCAGAGATGAGGGCAGAGGGCATTCCAGGTGTGGGGGTCGCGGGAGAGAGGCTGGAGATGGAGGCCAGAGGGGCATGGACTCAGCCCTCTTCCAGCCTGTGGCCTTTCTGAGCTGGGGTAGATGGCCTCTGAGTGTCTTCAGGCTCTGTCTCTTGTGATCCCCATCCTCTTTGGGCCTCAGATTCATCGGATTGTAGATCTGTGTTCCAGATCTATGACCTGTAGAAGTTGTAGGGAGGTCAAGTGATCCGTGCAGGTGTTGTGAGACAGAGGAGCTGGTGTGCCAGTGCTGGTCCCAAGGTACCACGTTGCCTCAAGTGATCTTTTATTCCCCCTCCTCTCCCTTCTCCCCAAATCCCAGGACCTTATGGCCTTCCTGGGTTTCGGTTTTCCCATCTGTAAAATGAGGACGTTGGATCAGACGACAGCTAAGGTCCCCCCCAGCTCTAAATGCTGTGGTCTCTTGTCATCTGCGGCCTCAACAGGGGTTAAAGTAAATGTTTTTAATGGGCTCCTTGAGCTCCAACATTCCATATGTCTGTGACCCTCCTCTTTGCCAGCCAGCCTTTTAAGGAAGCTCACCCTGCAGAGACAGAGCAGAGCTCTGGTAAGGGACTCCCCAGGACCTCAGACTGAAGAGCCCCAGTGCATTTTGTCCTGTCGGACATCTAGAATCACGGCATCCTAGACTAGAGCTAGGAGGGACCTCAGAGTTCCTTCAGTCCTAGCCCCTCGTTTTGTAGGCCCAGGGAGGGAAAGAACCTTGCCCAGAGTTACCCACATGGCCTTGAACCGGGTCCTAGAGTGTTAGATCGGCTCTCCTTTTGTACCAGTCTGATTCCTGCTGATACGGATTCCTTGGGACCATCCAACAGGAGCCCCTCATCTTACTGATGGGAGACACCCAAGATCGTAGGATTATAGGACTGAGCTAGAGGAACCGTAGAGACCGTGTAGTCCAGCACCCTTGTTTTATGGATGAAGACACTCAGGCCAGGAGAGGGCGAGTGAATCGTCTTAGACCCGCGAGGACTTTCTTCCCGATCTCCTAAGACAGGGGTGAGCTCTCCTAAGACAGGGGTGAGCGGATGACAGCCTGGGGACGGCCTCAGTGAGCTCAGAATGGTTTTTACATTTTAAAAGGCAATAAAGTTCTATTTAAACATGCCAAAGCCATTCTTCACGGGCTGCTCTGTTTTGTCAACCCAGTTTCAAGACACTGTTTCCTCCTCTTAAAGCACCAGGTGTAGTTTGTGAGTCTGTTAGAAGTCGATGTCAGAGTAGGCCTGTCAGCTGGAAAGGTCACTCTTGCTGCTGTTTGTTCAGGAAGGAAGGTGATGGACAGTGGGACCATGTGGGGAACTTCTGTTTCCTTCTGGCAGTTCCCAGCCTGCTTTAGCCAGAAGCACTGGAGCTTGAGGAGGGGTCTGAAGGGAGGGAGCTCTGATACCCCGCCCTTGGAGTTCTTGGAAGGGCTCAGATTCCTGGAGTCCAGCCCCTCCCAACTTCTATGTCCTTGGAATACCACAGGCTGGGCCTTCAGGCCTGGATACTTTAGGTAGCAGTGCACTTGATAGCAAGTACCGTGGGAGAAACTCTGAAAGCCTTGTCACTGGAAGCCCTTGCAATTCTGATCCGACCCTGACATTTCATCTCCCCTGCCTTTACTATACAAGACACACTTGGCTTTGATTACTTTTGTGAAGAGCTCAGTACCTGCTTCTCCTTTGCCCTTCTTTCCACTGGTGGTGGAGGTGGGATTGCATCATAACAGACTGGCAAGGATGCGGGTTGGGGCGGGGAGGAATGGGAGGAAAGGTCTGCTGCCATCAACAGGCCCCCCATATCAGAGGTGCACAGAGCCAGTAAGTGCTCTCTGTAGCCATAGTCCTCAGGCCGCTCCCCCAAGTCCCTTTAACTCGGGGTCCTTCCAATCCTCAGTCATCTCCCTGCTGTTGAAAAGTGATGAGCTCTCACTTTTGAAACTCTCGGTCCTCGTCTGGAGCCGGGGTAGGGGCCTGTTCTTGAGGCTGATCTGACCTAGTCCCAAAATACAGCAGGGTTGTTTGGACCTGCGCTGACCTTTGATCTGCATTTGGACTCGAGACGTGGCCCTGAAAGGTCAGCACAATTGGCAGCCAGGCAGCCTATTAGATAGAGCAGGCCTGGGCCTGGAGCATGGAAGGCATTCCTTTGAATTCTGCCTCATTCACTTGTTCAGTGAGAGACCCTGGAAAAACCGCTTTATCTCTCCTGATGCAGCTCAGCTAAGACCAGTTTGTTCTGAGGACAAATGCTGTAATATATGTCAATGAGTCAATTAGTAAACATTTATTAAGTACCTACTGTGTGCCAGATACTGTGCCAAGTGCTGGGAGTACAAGGAAAGTCAAAGACAGTCTCTGTTCTCAAGGAGAGTAGTAGCTAGGTGGCGCTGCAGTGGATAGAGCGCTGGCCCTGGAGTCAGGAAGACCTGAGTTCAAATCCAGCCTTAGACACTTGCTAGCTGTGTGACTTTGGGCAAGTCACTTAACCCTGTTGGCCTCAGTTTCCTCATCTGGAAAATGAGGTGGAGGAGGAAATGGCAAACCACTCCACTGTCTCTGCCAAGAAAACCCTAAGTGGGGTCACCAAGAGTCTGGCATGACTGAAATGACTGAACAACAACAGTCCTCAAGGAGCTCCATCTGATGAGGTGGGAAGGATACCATGCAAACAATTGTGTACAATCAAACTAAATGCAGGATAAATTGGAGATGATTAATGGGGAAGGCACTAGAATTAGGGAGTATGGGGAAAGGCTTCATGTGGAAGGTAGGGTTTTAGTTGAGACTTGAAGGAAACCAGGTTAGGGACTCTTTGTGCACTTGAAAGATGGTTGCTATTGTTATTATTAGCTATTGTCTCATTTCTGATGGGGACAGTTAAGAATATTTTGTGGGACAGCTTGAAAAATCGTCCCTAGGCTAAGACTCTCATCTCGAGCTTGGGCTCCATTTCTAGCGTCTCCCTTGCCTTTAATAACTAGCCAGTTGTGGATCTTTTACCTGTACGTGGATTAATATTCTTCTGAAGCCTCTGATGTTTTCTGCTCTAGCACTCCTTGTTCAGTGGTTTTCAGTCTTTTCTGACTCGCCGTGACCCCATTTGGCATTTTCTTGGCAGAGATACTGGAGCGGTTTGCCATTTCCTTCTCTGGCTCATTTTACAGATGAGGAAACTGAGGCAGACAATATGAAGTGACTCACCCTGGGTCACACAGTTGGTTAGTGCCTGAGGCCAGATCTGAACTCAAGTCTTCATGATTGGAGGCCTAGCCTTCTATCCATTGTACCATCTAGCTCATTCCTCATAATATTGTTCCTCCTTTTATGTTTCCTAGAATAGCTTCCTTAAGGGAAGCTGGGTGTGCACCTCTCTTTCCAGTGGTCGCTTCCATCCATTGGGCTTTTACATTCTTTATTCTGGACTGAAAAGTCAGAGATCTCTTTGGTCTCTCATGGAGATAATTTGCTTGAATTATTAAGGTCATTGCCTCAGTGTTTTGTTCTCTTTTTTGGTGGAATCAACTTGGGCAGTCTGTGCCAAAGTCTTTTTTTCCCACAAATGTCATAGGAAGGAGGAATGTGGTCTTTCCCCCCCAAATGCAGGAGAATTTATTTCAAGGCCCTGTGTCTGGGTGGGTAACCAGGCCGCCAGTGCTTGACCATAGTGCCAGCTGCTGTCCTGAGGATCCAGAGAAAAGCAAAGATAGTTTCTGCCCTCAAGGAGCTCACAACGTGTAAATAATTAGGTCCATACAAGATATATGCTGGAGAATATGAAGGGAATGCCCTAACAACTGGGGAGGACTGGAAGAGGCTTCCTGAAGTAGGTGGCATTTGAGTTCAATCTTGAAAGAAGCCAGAGAAGCCAAGAAGTCAGGGTAAGGAGGGAGGGCATTCCAGGAGTGGGGGACAGCCAGTGCAAAGGTAGGGAGGTGGGAGATTGTGTGCCCTTTGTGATCGATAGCAAGCTGGCCAGTGTAGCTGGAAGGCAG